TGCAAACGATAAGTAATTGTAATTTCTTTGTTTTCTTAGCATTATGCGATTTTCTTATCGCGACGTGTTATTTGTAATACTTGTTTTTCTGGTCTTATGTTTGTATCGCACCAGGCAATCTATTTGTTTCATTTCGGATGTTTTCTTGGTATAATCTGTCTTTATTAGTAAAATGATTTTTCGAGAATTTTGCTTGTGTTTCCCTGTAAATCAGAAGCGCTATGTGAGCCACATTTTAGATTCCCATGAAAATCCAATTCCGATATGGGATTGTGCATACGGCTATAATTTATCATCTACCATATTATCTACAAATCCAACACAATCAATTCTAACTTCATTATCTATTACAAATGCTCAACCATCTATTGTAATAGTCACACCCACACAAACAAACAGCTCAAACAATAACCTAGTAACAATCATTGAAGTATTAGGAGCAATATTAACCGTATTAACAACAATCATAACAACTCTTATTATTTGCATTACCGTAATTTTCGGCATATAGTATCCCAGGTCCCTTACATTCCTAGGGGCAAAATCTTGATTAGTATCCGGTGGGTACTTTGTCAGGTGGAGGGTATTTTATACGGGGGAGTTCATGTAGGGGGGATACTTTAAATGCGATAAGGTTAACCAAATTACCAGTATTTAACTGGTAAGTAGACGCGAAAATACTTGAACATGAATTTTTTTTTTTTGAATAAAATTTTTTTTTACACAACAACTTTACATATTAAAATTTCTTTTACGTGCTAAAACATGGCAAAAATTAAATCTGGCATTGCATGTTCTACAATTACACAAAAAAAGAGGCGCACTTGGAATATACGCGAGAAACTTGCAATAGTAACCTACCAAGAAAAGACACAGGCAAGTATTCGCAAAACTTCACTTGAATTTGGAAATTGAACCAAAACAATTTCGTGATTGGCATTCAAAAAAAAATGAATTGATGCTTGCTCGTCCACGTGTCCGTCGGATGAATGCTGGCTCCCGCCCGAAGTATCCTGAACTAGAAGTTGAATTAAATAACTGGGTATGTGCATTGCGAGCTGAACTTAAAGTAGTTACATGCTATATGGTTCAAGTTAAAGCAAAAAATTTGGCGCAAAAACAACGATTTTTATCACTTTATCCTGATATTTCAACATTTCAATAAAGCTATAAATAGTTAGATGAGTTTATGAACCATCATCATTTAAGTAATTGACGCCATACTACTGTTTCACAATGTTTACCTAAAGATTATAGTGAAAAGCAACAGGAATTTTTAAGTTTGGTTCTTCTTCAATGAATGAAATATGACTATCCTTTAAAGCTAATGGGCAATATAGATGAAACGCCACTTTCTTTTGACTTGCCAAACAACTATATAATTGATAAAACTGGGGCCCATAGTATTAGTATCAGAACCTGTGGATATGAAAAATCAAATTTTACAGTTGTTCTTAGTTGTATATCTGATGGTTCTAAGTTGCTACCGCTAATTATTTTTAAACTTAAAAATGTACCACAGCTTAACTTTCCAAGAGGTATAAAAATTAGGGCTAATTCAGAGGGTTGGATGAATACTGAGGAAATGTTATTCTGGATTGAAAATGTGTGGAACTGTCGTGTGCCTCTTTCTGTTGATCCACGTTCTTTGTTAGTGCTTGATTCATTTAGTGGTCACCTTGTAGACTCAGTTAAGCAACGATTTAAAGAAAAAAATACTGACTTGGCAGTAATCCCTGGTGGGTTAACTCCTCGGTTACAACCGTTAGACATAGCTATAAATAAACCTTTTAAAGATAAGGTATATTCACTAAAGCATCAGATATTTATACTTATTTGGGAATGATTATGGGTGATTTTATCAGGAAATGTTGTATTTTCTGACTATAAAATATGATAATTTAAAATTGACGATAGAATTTGAGACCAATGATTATTAAAGAGACAACACATACTATATAAGAAATAATGAAATAAAGATCTAAAAATTTGTATGAATTTTTTTTTTTATTCTTACAATTAAAGTATTAATTATTTAATACATATATAGGTTCGTAATCATTATAATAAGTGGATGGCTGAGGAAATTAAGAAGCTAACACCCACAGGACGATTTCAAAAGCCTGCTTACAATGTTGTCGCTCAGTGGGTTCAACAAGTATGGGATGATATCGATTCAGCACTTATTCGACGTTCATTTAAGTGTTGTGGGATTTCTAACAATTGAGATGGTTCTGAAGACAGACAAATCTTTGATTATGATTCTATAACAAGGGATAATTCTATGCCACATATTATCGTTGAGAAAGAAAATAATGAATCGGGTGGGAATTATAAAGGTTCTAGTGAATTGGTTAGAAATTGTGAAGATTTAAACGAATTAGTTGTAAATTGTGAAGATTCAAATGAATCAGGTGGAAGCTGTGAAGAGTCAAATGAATCAGGTAGAAACTGTGAAGAGTCAAACGAACTTGTTAGAATTCATGATGAAAGTGAAAGGTCTGATCAATTTTTTTGTAAAAACGATCTTATTTTAGATTTTGGGGATGAAAATTTTGATGAGTATTATAATAATTCTGAAGTAGAAAGCTATTCTAATTCCTGGGTTTAAAAAATTTCATCGATTATTTGAGTTCTCTTTATATAGAATTTTTGGAGATCAATTTCATATAACTTTTTTTTAGAAAATACAATATGATCATAATAAATACAGTCAAACGTGCTTTATATTAAAAAAACTTTATAGATTTAACTTCAAATTAATTAATTTTTTTACTATTTGAATATCAGTAAAACATCATAATTTTAAATGTGTTAACTCTCTACATGGTATGTTAAGTGTACTTATAAAATTTATTCTCGACTAAATAATATTACATAAATTACATTAGACAATCAAATGGTATGCATATTATAGAGAAGAAATGTGTACTTACAGTAGGTCAACTATAATAAAATCACAACTCAAGACGGAAGTTGAAAAAGAATATATGTATGTATGTATAGTAAAGGTATAAATTGGAACCAACCAACCAGAGTCTTGAAAGCTTTAACCAATCAACATATGTTTAGATATACCCGGGTCTTTTACAATCTTGTTTGTGATGAATACTTGATTAGTCCCAGGTACAAATCATGGGGGGTATACTAAAAAGGGGGTACTATATGCCGAAAATTATGGTAAACATTTAAACAAAAGAAAGAAACAATACAAAAGTCAGATACCATTCACACAACCACCAAACAATAATCTTAACCCAGAACAAATACAACAATTAGCAACACAATTACAACAAAGACAATTTACTAGAACAAGAACTGGATTACCAAGTCAACCACAACATACTAGGCCTAATAGGAAAGCACGATTTCAACGCGTAAACTCACCTCACCAATCTGAAAATGAAAGATATTCTAGCTGGAATAATTAGTTAAACTTTTACTATTGTAAATGAAAGAACTCTGAGATACAATAATCATAATCTTAATTGCAATTATATCTGCAGAAGGCTTAACTGTTATACTTCTTAAAGAACCTGAAATAATACAAATTGAATTATCTATTCTAATTCTTACCGCAATATCTGGAATAATCATTGTACTATTTGATATACTGAACCCAAATCAATTGAATGACAACAATACAAACAATAACACCAACAACTGAACCACTTAACTGCAATAACACTATATTTCAACCACCTGCATCAACATTACTCATAATACTATTATTTACTATTGTAATCTGGATACTTACTATTGTAATCATTTGCTGTAAACAACAACAAGATAAGAAAAGACTATATAAGCAGACATCATCACTTGGATACTACGCAGACCAAAACCAAGGCTGCTGTTGTTAAAATTAATGTCAACTACACCTACCGAAACACCAATACAACCTAATACTACAACTACAATCTATATCATTATAGTAATCATTGGAATACTACTATTAGTATCTCTAATTATATCAACAGTATTATATTTTACTTGTCAAAGATGAAAACAGAAAAGAAACCAACAAAGAAACATACAACCTAGAATTGGCAACTTTAACCAATACCGAAATAACAAACCGATACCATCAGGATCACACCTCATTCAAGAAATAAGTTATCCACAAATACCACCTTTAACTTATTAATGTGCATACCAAAACGAAGGAAAAGAAAGAATCTAAGGAAACAAATATCAAATTTTAACCCAGAATTTGTCAATCAAAACGACTTATATAACCTAACACTACAGCAAATAGCAAACTTACCAAAGCAATATCAATAATTATATTAGAAATTACCAATTCGGAAGAAATACCAGAGAAATTAATAAATTATTTGGGCAATAACAAATGAAACTATTTGTTATAATACTATCATTAGTAATACTAGTTGCAGGACAACAATTTACATTCATAACAATTACCATACCAACAGTAACTTTAACACAGAATATTACACCAACACCTCAAACAATTACCCAAACTTCAGTATCAACCTTAACTAAAGCACCAAGTTATTTTAACGACCAAAATGTAATTGATCAAGATATAGTAACAATTATACTTATTATATTAATAATTGTAGTAATGGCATTCACAAAATACCGCCAATATAATCAAAGACAATTGGACTTAGCAAAGAATTACTTTAACAACACACTAAGAACAGGAGAAGCTGTTAATAATACAATTACACCAATTACCAATATTATTTAATGAACGAAGAAATTTTAGAAAATCTCCAAAAACTAAGAAACCAACCAAACAATAGATATTGTGAAGACGACAAATCTATTCTATTAACTACATATAAAACAACTGAACAATTATTAAAAGAATCAGAAACTGAAATTAAAACTGTCAAACAAAAGAAATATATTCAATTAACAAACACTGAAGAAGTAATTTACCACAAATCGAAACTATTAATAGAAAATAGGAAACCAGTAAAAGAAGAAGTAATACTAGCCTATATTATTAATTTAATCAGAAAAGGAGAATCTGACGATTATATTGAATTAATTGCAAAAGATTACCAACAAAATTTAGAATTAATAAGAAAACAAACTGACAAGAAATATTTATGCAAAGACAACAACAATACGGAGTGATACCACTAACTAATTACGACTTCAATAAGTGGACATTGAAATATCCAATTTCGGCACAGAGATTAGAATCCAAAAGAGTTTATCATAATTTATTCAGAAATTATTTCAAAACAAACATACCAGAATTTCCAGTAATATCAAAAGAAGATTTAGAAAAGATTTATATAATACTCAAGAACCAAGATAAAAAATACTTCAACCATAATTATACCAAAATAATAACAACTAAATACAAGAAGGAAGATATATTCAATTACTTAAAATACGGACATATACTAGGAAACTATTCATATATTTATAGAGTATTAGTAATAGCAAACTTAACTAACGAAGACTATATACAATTCTGTATACTTGCAAATATTAAAACCATAGTAAAATATTAAAATGACTGAAACCACAGAATTTTATGACATTACCAATTGGGACTTCAATCAAATGATGGGAAATTTAAAATGTAACAGATCAAATTGGAATGCATGGAGCATAGAATTTAAAAAAAGAATTAGAGCAAAAATAGATTTAGATTTATTAGCAACCGGATTCTTCGAAGAAATCCTAAAAAAAGGTTTTGTTAGACTTAGAACAGACAATGCATCAGTAAAAGACTCACAACATGAAATGTTCAACGTATATTTTATGAGACAACTTATACATAAAATAGTAATACAATATTTTACAGAAGATCTATACAGAAAATACCAAAGAAAAGCAGCATTGTTTACATGTTACTTCCCAAGCGACTTTAAAAATGGAAAGAAAATACTGCAACATGATTGGGAATGTAACTACGATACAACATGTGGAAATGACCTTGATAAAGCGAATGTGACATTATTAAATCCAACAGGATTTTCAAAAGAATTAAACCATAAATATACTGCAACCAATACCGGTACTGATAAGTTACCAGGACAAGATAATTTACAACTCTTTGATCCAGTAGCAACCCACCAGAATCTGTTCAGATATCATTCAGATTATGGATGGACCAACAAAATATTACAACTGAATACACACTGAAATTACAAAAACAATTCTTACAATTAACAT